GTACAATCCCTCCAGAAATTTTAAATGCGATGGACCCTAAATTCAGAATTTCTCTATGGTCGTCTTCAAGTTCATAGGACATCCAGTGATTTGGATAACTGGATATAGACATAAATCACTGAGCTGATCCAACACCCTAGCTTATGCCCTTTTTGAGTAATTATAACTATTATAGAGCTAGCAAGGATCAAGTTTCCCCTTTATTTATTTATATATATATATATTATATTTGTTATATTTTTATCTTTGGCCATCATCATAGAGGTAAGGAGTCCCAGTCTCTTTAATTGTTAGGCACGGATAAGCTCATCCTTTCATCTTCTAATTTTATTGGATTTTTCCGTAAGAAGTCAGCTTATATGCAAGAAAAAGAGTTATTATAAAGGTTTTAGACAGTTAAAATTTATTTTCAAATTAATTTCTTATTAAAGAACTTGTAAAGGGCACCCACATATATCAATATATTGAAATTTAATTTTTATAAGGGTTAATCTCGAAAATTATCAAGATCTAAAACTCGAGGTTAATTTTTTGTTTTGCTTTTCTAACATCTTTTTGTCAATTTAATAGCCTAATCTATCAAAGAATAAGGATGGTGTTAAAGTCAAAATGAAACTAAAAAATAAATAAAGAGAGTTTACCTAACATGGCAATACCTTTCTCATTCTTGCCATATTGGAACCTTCTAATGCAAAAATGCAGAACTTTCATATGAATTATTGAAACCAAAATTTCTTTTAGATTTCAAGTCAAACCACTCCACTCCACTGTGTTTTTTCCCTTTATTATTATGAACATCTCTCCTCCAATTACCCATCAAGTTTCTTACTGCTTTCCTTATGTTTTATTAAGTTTTTTATTGGATCCAAACCTAATTACCTTCAATTTGTAATCTCCTTTTCATGACAACTGGACAATTACAGCACTTAAAATCTAAATTTATTGCCTCTAACTTATAATCTCAAACTACTTTAAAGAATTAATAAATTTTTGTTCCATAAAGAGTTTTCGATTGGCTGTATGTGCAGTTGGACTATTGATGTTTGGTCCAAACCAAATAACATGGCATTATGGCAGGGTTGATGGAAATCGCTTATGAATACTGCTGTTAAATCATTTCATGCAACAAGTCTTTCAGGTCAAATTACAATAATCACTTCAATGCATTTCTCTTACCCTTACCTGGTTCGGCCAGGCACTTGTAAAAACTGTTAAAAAAAAAAAATCATTTCATGCAATTTTCAATTTTAAAGTTTTTATTTTTTAAAAATGGTAGCAGAGTAATTGTCCTCATCTTCAAGGGTATTTCATTGTCCTCCAAGAAATAATTGTAAAATAAACGCACAAAAAATGAAAAAGAAAAGCAAAAATTCTCTCTCTACTCTCTATTCCAGGAAAAATCGGATACTTTCTTTCTCTAAGACACTTTTTCTTTTCTGTAATTTTTTTCACTGGTATATAAAAAAGGCAGCAGGGAAATAATGGCGGTTGTGTTTATTGATTGGAGTGAACAGAGAAAGAGCAAGGCAGTACTAGACTAGTAGCGGGGCTTCTCTCCCACCAGTCACCACCACCACCGCTACTATTTCCATTACTGGAAACAAAAAAGTTCTTCAAAACTCATAAATTCCATGCCCTTAAATCCCCACCATAGCTAACATATATTCTCCTGCAAATATCTATATATACCCATCTTTGCTACAGGAAGCTATGAGCAAGAAATGCACAAACAGTACATGATTCTTGCTTGTACCTTGTAATCATTTCTCTGTTTCTTGTGTGTTAGTGAGATCTAGGTTTTTAGTTAGTCGAGCAAGAAAAAGGACGTTTCTTGAGCTGAGATCTATGGTTTTGGCTTGTGGGTATTGATGGGTTTGCAGATACAGGACCCAAAAGCTGTATGAACTGTGCGAAACAAAGTGGTTTTGGGTATTTTTGGGAGGTGAAATGTGGGGTAAGTGCTGAACAGAGGAAGTGTGTTAGCATGAAGATTTTGGTTGAAGTGAACAACACTTGGGGGCTTGGGGGAAGAAGGGAAGGTGCGGATGAGGCTTAAAGCGATTGTCTTTTTTAGTAAAACCGGTTTCGGTTGAAATCTGGGAAGTGGGTTTTCTGCTATCTTTTGTATTCTTATATGATTTCATAACCCTTTTAATTTTAAGCATTTATTTTGATGGCTAATCAGTCAACTTTTTGCTTAATTGAAGATGGATATTGTTAAGGGATGGTAGTGTGCGGAGAGAAGGGAGTGAAGCGGGGAGTATTTTCGTGCTCTGGGTGTTTTGTTGGGTGGATTTGTGCTTGAAGGAGGGGTCTTGGGGGGGGTAGGGGGGTGTTGAAGGAATCACTCTGTCTCTTCTTATAAATGAGGCTTTCTTCCGCTGGATTCAGTCCACAACCCCAGGAAGGTATGCTCTTATCTGCTTACAGATGGCTGTCTCCGTCTCCTTTTCTCCTGAATTTTTTTCTCTTTCCTTTTCTTCTTTGTTCATTTTTCTCTTCAAGGACTAGATTGGTTTGTGGGATTGAACAATTATGCCGTTGTAGTATTTTGCGATGTTCTTTCGCTTTGTTTCCTTCCTGACAGGGAGTCTGACATCTTTAATCCAGATCATTAATTCCTCTTAGTATGGATTTGCTAAATCTCATGCAAATTCATAGAAGGATGTTTTAAATTTTTTGACTTTGATGATTGAGTTCTGCCGTTTCCCTCCTTTTGTGTTTTTTCACCATCCTCTTCTTTTTCTTGTCTTTACATGGACTAGAGAACTGCCCAAATTTTATTAATTTGATTTTTTCCATTAATGTTCAGTGACCAACAGAGTTTTAATTGGCTGTCTTCTTCTTGTAATCGCCGGATTTGTTTTGTAGGTTCTAATCATCCTGTGATACCAAGCTTTAATTTTGAATTTAATGTGGACCCGTGTTTGTTGGAAGGTGTTCAAGGTCATCACAAGACCTTTAGAGGACCTATGTTGCATTACTATTTAGTGGTTAAGATCAATATTATTGTAGTTGTTTATATCTTCATTTTGCTTTTTGGTTGGAGTTTTGCAGGGGAAAAAAGGGTTCTCAACTCTGAACTTTGGCATGCATGTGCGGGACCTCTTGTTTCTCTACCTCCTGTTGGAAGTAGGGTTGTTTATTTCCCACAGGGTCATAGTGAACAGGTTAGTTTTTTCGGAATTTGAGGTTAGCTAGTTTGGTAAATAATTGATTTTGAAGCACATTTTGTTTATTGCAGATGGTATGTGTATCAACTTGCGCTTGCTACATGAAGAATGAATTTTGAATATCTTTTCATTTTCTATGGTGATGAATTTTAATTTAAAATATATATGACTACAATTTCTCTGTTGCCTGTCAATAATGCAGATAATATAAAGAACAACCTAAGAATGTCTCTTTTTAGCATCCAATGCCATATTGCCTTGTTAAATTTTTACTTGGAAAGATAATTAACTTGGGCAGCGTTGGATTGTGCTACCTTAATTGATACTTGCTCAGATCTCTGACTGAGATGAGTTTGTTCTTTGTGTTGCCCTTCTCATTGTTCTTTTATTATATTTACTATTGGTTTTTCTGAAATCTTATGATTGAGTTAGTTGGTAACATACTGATATAACTAACAGCTAGGAAGTTAATACAAAAAAGGGGTTTTATGGAACCTGAAAGATAAACTGAGTTTTTGCTGGAATTATGTTGATTTATTTTCCTTTACTTCCCCAGTCGAACAAACTTAACACTGGCATATCAAGTTGATAGTTGAATCCTCAAGTATCAGTTATTATGGTTCTGTAAGATCAAGATCACTAAGTCCTGAAACTTCTCCATGTGTGAAAAAGAGAGAAATAAGAAGAAAGGAGAAATTGTTAGGGGAGATTGGGGTTGACAGTCATACAAATTTCCATTAAAAAGCATCTTCTTTACGTGGTGATGGCTACTGGTGAAGCTATACGCCATGAGGGACTCCTAGGTTATATTTTAAGTTGCAGTCTTGTCATCCTGATATAAAGAATGTTTCAATCAAGTGACATGTTGTTCCATGTAAAAAGTGTGCTTGTAACCGTATGGTTGGGCATAATGGTCTTCTTTCTTCAAGTCCTTAGTTTTGAACTTAAACTGTGCACTGAGTAATATGTGGAGTTTTATTTTGTGAGGTGAATAATTACAACATAGAGTATAATTATAAGTTATTCATCTCTGCACCAGTGTTATGCACATCTTAACATGTTTTAAATGATATTTTTGATACTACTGTGAGTTCACTTTGGTGTTGCTACTGGTTTTATCCTCCTCTAGATGGATGCCCTTTTATATTAGTGTTTTTTTCTCCTTTTGCTAGTTGTGTAAGAAAATTATATTAACTCCCTTTACCTTCCATTTGCTATATATTTTCCATTGCAAAGAATTCTTAGGTAGTGCATTAGTTATTCTACTGCATGTGTCAGACTGATTCTTGACTTTCCAATGTTTTTTTGAGTTTGAAAATTTTCAACGTGTATGTAATCAGACTTTGGTAATCTTTAAGAAGTCTTACTTTCCTTTTTAAGCATATCTTGGTGCCTTTTTTCTTAGGTTGCTGCATCAACCAACAAGGAAGTGGATGCCCATATACCTAACTATCCAAGTCTGCCTCCACAACTTATCTGTCAGCTGCACAATGTTACCATGCATGTAAGGGTTGCTAATTTTGGTACTCTTCCAACTTTGTTCCTTATCATGGGCTTGTTCTTGAATCCTGCAAAATGTTTTCAAATTTCAGGCTGATGTTGAGACAGATGAAGTATATGCTCAGATGACCTTGCAGCCATTGAGTCCAGTATGCTATTTCTCTGGCCTAACATTTCAGTTTTATTTGTATTATTGATATTGGTTGCTCCAAATACTGATGATGACGACGACTTGGTTCTGCAGCAAGAACAGAAGGAAGCTTATCTTCCAGCCGAGTTGGGCACTCCTAGCAAACAACCAACAAATTACTTCTGTAAAACGTTGACAGCAAGTGACACAAGTACTCATGGAGGATTCTCGGTTCCTCGCCGGGCAGCTGAAAAAGTGTTTCCTCCCTTGGTAAATCTTCTTTATGGTCATCAAAGAGCATCAGCTAGGACTCTTTTGGTTAAAGATTTCATTTCATTTCTGATTGTGTGCCATTGAGCTGCAGGACTTCACTCAGCAGCCTCCAGCTCAAGAGTTGATTGCCAGAGATCTGCATGATAATGAGTGGAAATTCAGGCATATATTTCGGGGTGAGTTATCATAGGAATGGAACTTGAAAAGATGCATCTCCATTGTCTTCCTGAATAGCAACCTAACATTTCTGTCTAGATTGCTGCAGAGAAGAAAAATAAGTCCCTAATTCATCCCTGTTGGTTTAGTAGATTACTTTAACTGCTTCAGGCTATTTTGTTGTGAATACCGGAACTCAAGTTTCATTTGCACCATCAAAGTGAAGATGAGGGGTAACCTTGGATTGTAGAACTTGTTAATAATTAATTTCCTGTCTCTGTGCAGGCCAGCCCAAAAGGCACCTACTTACAACTGGATGGAGTGTTTTTGTCAGTGCAAAGAGATTAATCGCTGGTGACTCAGTGCTCTTTATCTGGTAGGTGTCGCTGGCTGGTTGTCTATAGTTGACTCTCTTTTGTGTTTGTCACCCTCGACTTGCATCAGCTGAGTGCACTTGAATTTGAGTTTAATGTTATTGAGCTTTGGCATATCTTTCTAATTTCCTCTTCTTCTTTTTTTTTTTTAATAATGATTTTACCTGCTTTTTACTTTTATTTTCCTTTGATAATCAGCCAAAGAAATGTTGATGGTTTCTTTGAAGAGGTTGATATAAGTCTTGGCGCATGCTCTCTATTTAGTTTGAGAGAGATCCCCTTAAGAATAATAATATTCTCTTCTTGCTGTATGTTATATCTCTGGGTGCAGCAACGAAAAGTACTGCTGGTGTTTGTTTTCTTGCTTTTCCTCTTTTCAGCTTACAATAGAGCACTTGCTGTTCTTTCCTATAGATTGTTGATATGTAATTCCTAAAGAATAATGTGGGGAATTTTTTTTTTTTTCAAGGAATGAAAAAAATCAATTACTTCTTGGTATTCGACGTGCTAATCGACCTCAAACTGTAATGCCTTCATCGGTATTATCAAGTGATAGTATGCACCTGGGCCTTCTTGCTGCTGCTGCTCATGCAGCTGCTACTAATAGCCGTTTTACCATATTTTATAATCCCAGGTATGGTCCTTTGCATCTGTTATATTGTGTGTTTTCTTTACTCATCTATTGACCCTCAACTTTCTGTCTTTGATAAAGGGCTAGTCCATCAGAGTTTGTCATACCATTGGCCAAATATGTGAAAGCAGTCTATCACACTCGGGTTTCTGTTGGTATGCGCTTTCGTATGCTGTTTGAAACAGAAGAATCAAGTGTCCGCCGGTACATTTCAAATCCTTTTGTTATGGTTTATGTGGTTTTACTCTTTTTTATTTGTTATAAGTTTTGATGGTTATTGGAAGGAAATAAAATAAAATAAAAAATCTGATTTAAAGAGTTGCTATTTTGATGTCTTCTCAAAATGATTTTGTTATTTTGAAAAATCTTGAATACATCAGATACTGTAATGTTATAAGGTAAAAAATCAAGCTGATGTGTATCGTCCAAATTCTATGAATTTCCTGTGATAGTCCATAATCTGGAGGAATAATTAGCCTTTCGTGAAATTTAAATCTGCTATTCTTGTTTATTATCTAATCTATCTTCTCTTTATTTGTTATATTTTGCATCTTATAAGTTTGTTATGGTCCTGCATCTGAACATTGTGTCTTCTTCAGCTACATGGGCACAATAACTGGCATAAGCGATTTAGATCCTGTTAGGTGGCCAAATTCACACTGGCGCTCAGTGAAGGTCTGTTGAAAAAGGAAAATGCCATGCTAAACTGTTTATTTCTTAATGTTCTTATATCCTGCTAGATATTGCTTTTGTCAAGTAAATTTTCCTGAAATTGTGTTGTTTAATAGAAAATCTGTGAATTGAGCAGATTCTCATGGAATCTAATGCAGGTTGGCTGGGATGAATCAACAGCTGGGGAAAGGCAACCAAGAGTTTCCCTATGGGAGATTGAACCACTGACAACCTTTCCAATGTATCCATCTCCATTTCCCCTTAGGCTTAAACGACCATGGCCACCGGG